AAAGACGTCCGGTGAACTATGTGTCTTCCTCAACATGATAATGGAGCGAGTGATGGCGTTTACTATTATTATTGTTTGGTGATGATATTTTAATGAGGGTATTGTTATAGTGGCTGTTATCATCATCATCATCATCATCATCATCATCATCATCATCATCATCACATTACCTGCTGTATTATTGTTGTTATTAGGTTATTATCATTATTATTTGTGTTACTGTTTATTATTGTTGGTGTCGTTATTTACGCTACTTATGGAAGAGATGGTAGGGCAAAAGAGGAATGAAGAGGGTATTGGAAGGAGAGAGAGGATGGGAAGGAAATGAATGGGAGAGGGAGAGAGAGGAAGGAAGGTAGGGAGGGGTGGGGAGAGAGAGAAGGAAGGGAGAGAGAGGGGGGGAAGGAAGGAGAGAGAGGGGGTGGAAGAAAGGAGGGAGAGAGGTGGAAGAAAGGAAGGAAGGAGAGGTAGGGAGAGGTGGGGAGGGGATGTCAAGGAGGGATTACTCAGACCAGGAGATCAAACAGGTTGCTTTAAGTTGAAGGAAGGCTGGGGAGGAGGGAGAGGGAGGGTGGGGGGAAGGAGGGGGGGGAGGGAGGGGGGGAGGCGGGGGAGAGGGGGGAGGGGGTGTGAGGAGAGGAGGGTTGGAGAGGAGGGGAGAGAGGGAGGGCTGTGGGAGGGGAGAGGGAGGGCTGGGGGAGGGAGAGGAGGAGGGAGGGGAGAGGGAGGGTTGGGGAGGGAGAGGGAGGGGAGGGAGAGGGAGGGCTGTGAGGGAGAGGGAGGGCCAGAGGGGAGAGGGAGGGCTGGGGAGGGAGAGGGAGGTGGGGGGAGGGAGGGGAGAGGGAGGCTGGGGAGGGGAGAGGGAGGGGGGGGAGGGAGAGGGAGGGCTGGGGAGGGGAGAGGAGGTTTGGAGGAGAGGGGAGGGTAGGAGGAGAGGGAGGGGTTGGGAGAGAGGGAGGTGGGAGGGAGGAGGGGGAGGGAGGTTGGGGAGAGGGGGGGGGGGAGGGGGTGGGGGGGGAGGGGGGGAGGGAGGGAGGGGAGGAGGGAGGGGGGAGGAGAGGGGAGGGTTGCGAGGGGAGAGGAGGCTGGGAGGGAGAGGGAGGGTTGTGGAGGGAGAGGGAGGCTGTGAGGGGAGGGCAGAGAGAGTTGAGAGGGAGAGGAGGCTGGGGGAGGGGAGAGGGAGGGGTGAGGGGAGAGGGCAAGGGGAGGGAGAGGGGAGGGGTTGGGGAGGGAGAGGAGGCTGGAGGGAGGAGGGGGAGGGAGAGGGTTGGGGGAGGGAGGAGGGGTTGTGGAGGGGAGAGGAGGGTTGGGGAGGAGGAGGCTGAGAGGAGAGGGAGGCTGTGAGGGGAGAGGGGAGGGAGGAGAGGGAGGGTTATGGGGAGAGGGAGGGTAAGGGAGGGAGGCTGGGAGGAGAGGGAGGGGTTGTGAGGGGAGAGGGAGGGGAAGGGGAGGGGAGAGGAGGGCAGAGGGAGAGGGGAGGGCTGTGGGAGGGGAGAGGGGAGGCTGGAGGGGAGAGGAGGGCTGAGGGAGAGGGAGGGGTTGTGGGAGGAGAGGGAGGGTTGTGGGAGGAGAGGAGGGGTTGTGAGGGGAGACGGAGGGGTTAAGAGGGAGAGGGAGGTTGAGAGGGAGGGAGGGCTGTGAGGGAGAGGAGGGCTGGGGAGGGAGAGGGAGGCTGTGAGGGAGAGGGTCAGAGGGGAGAGGGAGGCTGAGAGGGGAGAGGGAGGGCTGTGAGGGGAGAGGGAGGGCAGGGGAGGGGAGAGGGAGGGTAGGAGGGGAGGGAGGGCTGGGGAGGGAGAGGGAGGGAGGAGGGGAGGAGGGCTGGGGAGGGGAGAGGGAGGTTGTGGGAGGGTGAGGGAGGGGAAGGGGAGGGAAGAGGGAGGAGGGGGAGGGGAGAGGGAGGGGTATGGAGGAGAGGAGGAAGGGGAGGGGAGGGAAGGGGGAGGGAGAGGGGAGGCTGTGGAGAGGGGAGAGGGAGGGAGAGGGGTGAGGGGAGGGAGAGGAAGGAGAGGGAGGGGGAGGAGAGGAGAGGAGGGAAGGTGTGGGGGGAGAGGGAGGGCTGAGGAGGGGAGAGGAGAGGGAGGGCTGGGGAGGAGAGGGAGGGGTTGCGGGGGAGAGGGAGGCTGTGAAGGGGTGAGGGGAGAGGAGGTTGTGAGGGGAGAGGGAGGGTGGTGGGGGGGAGGGAGGGCAGAGGGAGGGTGAGGAGAGGAGGTTGTGAAGGAGAGGAAGGGCTGGGAGGGAGGGAGGGTGAGGAGAGGGAGGGCTGAGGGGAGGGAGGGATGGGGAGGGGAGGGAGGGCTGGGGAGGGAGAGGGAGGCTGGGGAGAGAGGGGAGGGTTGTGGAGGGGAGGAGGAAGGTGGGGAGAGGGAGGCTGTGAAGGGGTGAGGGAGAGGGGAGGGGAGGGGAGAGGGAGGCTGTGAGAGAGGAGGTAGGTGAGGTGGAAGAAAATATGGAGAGGGGTGTGGGGAGAGGAGGAAAAGGGGGAGAGAAAGATAATGTAGGAGATGAGAAGAGGGAAAAGAGGGAAGAATGAGGAAGAAGAAAGGGAGAAAAGTAAAGAACATGGACAGAGAGAGAAAGAGGAGAGAATAGGAGGAACGAAAGTAATAACGCGAGGAAGTAAACAAATGGATGAGAAGAGTAGGAGGAACAGGGAAGGAAGAAGTGAGGGAGAGAGATAGGAGGGGAGAGGTAAGGAAAAAGATAAATGAGGGGAATAAGGCAGCAGAGGAGGGGAAAATATAGATAAGAGAGATAGAGGGAATACGAAATTGATAGATAAGTAGGTAGGGGGAGAGAAAGGGAGGGGGGAGAATGACAGTGAGAGAGAGTTAAAGAAAGTGAGAAAATAATAAAGACGAGAATAGAGAGAAAGGGCCAAAAAACATAATGAGTTAGAAGAGAGAGAGAGAGAGAAAGAATTAAAGAAAAGAGAATGAGTGAACAAAACAAAAGTAAAATGATAAAGAGAGGAACCAAAAGAGAGAGAGAGAGAGAGAGATGCTGTACCACATGAACGATATTCGGCCGTGATATAAAAAATACACTCACAAATTACCTGGTCTCTATTAAGGTGCTCACAAGGACGAGGGAGAGGAAGGGAGGAGGGGAGAGGAGGGGGCAGGAGGGGAGGGAGGGGGGTAGGAGGGAGAGGGGAAGAAGGGGAGAGGGGAGGGGTAGGAGGGGAGTGGGAGGGGGGGGGTGGAGGGGAGGGAGGGGGGGCAGGAGGGAGAGGGGAGGGGGGGTAGGAGGAGGGAGGGAAGGGGGGGGCAGGAGGAGAGGGAGGTAGGGAGGGGAGAGAAGGGGGGCAGTGGAGGGAGAGGGAGGGGGGTAGTGAGGGGAGTGGAGGGGGGGCAGTGGAGGGGAGAGGAGGGGGGGCAGTGAGGGAGAGGGGAGGGAGCAGTGAGGGGAGAGGGAAAGGAACAGGAGGGAGAGGGGAGGCAGTGAGGAGAGGTAGGAAACAGTCAGGGGAGAGGGAGGGGGTAGAGGAGAAGGGGCAGAGAGGAGGGAGGGAGCAGGAGGGAGAGTGAAAAGGAACAGTGAGGGGAGAGGGGGGGCAGTGAGGGAAGAGGGAGGAGTGAGGGAGTAAGGAACAGCAGGAGAGTGGGGAAGGGAAGCAGGGGGGGGAGGGGGGGCAGTGAGGGAGAGGGGAGGGGGGGTAGGGAGGGAGGGGAGGGGGGCAGGAGGGAGAGGGAGGGAGAGGGAGGCAAAGCAGGGTGAGGGGAGAGGGAAGGGAACAGTGGGGGGAGAGGGGGGAGGGGCAGGAGGGAGAGGAAGGAACAGTGAGGGGAGAGGGGGGAGGCAGGAGGGGAGTGGAGGGGGGGGCAGGGAGGGAGAGGAGGGATTGGAGGGAGAGGAAGGAACAGGGTGAGAGGAAGGAGGAAGGAGAGGGGGGCAGGAGGAGAGGGAGGGGGGCAGGAGGGAGAGAGGAGAGTGGGAGAGATACTGTAAGAGAAGAGTGAGGGAGAGATATCAGGTGAGAAGAGTGAGGGAGGAGACTTATCAGGTAAGGAGTGAGGAGAAAGAGTGTTGGAGAGATGGAGGATGTGAAGGTGAAGACAGGTGTGAAGAGGAAGGAGAGGGAAAGGTATTAGGTGAATAGAAAGGGAGAGGAAAGAAGGAAGGAAGATGTAAAGAATAAGGGAGAGAGAGGAGAGGAGGAAGAGAAGGAAGGATGGTGTATAGAATAAGGGAGGGGAGGGGAGAGAAGAGAAGGAAGGAAGGTGTAAAAAGGTTAGGAAGAGTAGAAGGTGAGGGAGGAGGAGGAGGAAGCGGAGGGGAGAAGTCGTTGGAGGGAAGATGATAAGGGAGAGAGGATGATGTGAAAGAGAGATAGGGGCGGAGTAGAGCGAGAGAGAGAGAGAGAGAGAGAGAGAGAGAGAGAGAGAGAGAGAGAGAGAGAGAGAGAGAGAGAGAGAGAGAGTCCACAAACTCCAGACCAATTTGCAAATGTTTTTCTTTTATTGGATTCCTTTCACGGCAACATTGAGAAACAGGAGACGAGAGAAGACCGAAGACGTCAGGGGGGGAGGAGGAGGAGGAGAAAAGAAAAGAGAGAAAAAAAACATTAGCTTGAGATAAAGAAAGATAGATAGATAGGGGAGAGAGAGAGAGAGAGTACAGGATGATCGCTCGATAATACCAAGACCAACAACCAATTGTTATAATACACACCAACGGAAAAAGAAGGAATAAAAGAAACAAATAAAAGCAAAAAAGAACGATACAGAATATGTGAAAGAGAGAGAGAGAGAGAAGAAGAAGAGGTAGAAATAAGCTAACAAACACCGAGGGATTTTTGCGCATTTCGGTGTTCCGTTTTATCTCTTTGTTGCAGAAGTTGGCAACAAGCCCTTGTCGAGGGTCCTGGTCCTGCTGAAACGTGGAGGGCTGCGTCTAGACCGAGGTACACAGGGTCTGGGTGTTGAGGAGGCACTCTTTACCACCCGTGTGATGATGTGTACACGGTCTGGGTCTGGGGTCTTGTGTTGAGGAGGCACTCTTTACCACCCGTGTGATGATGTGTACACGGTCTGGGTCTGGGGTCTTGTGTTGAGGAGGCACTCTTTACCACCCGTGTGATGATGTGTACACGGTCTGGGTCTGGGGTCTTGTGTTGAGGAGGCACTCTTTACCACCCGTGTGATGATGTGTATACGGTCTGGGTCTGGGTCTTGTGTTGAGGAGGCACTACCACCCGTGTGATGATGTGTATATGGTCTGGGTCTGGGGTCTTGTGTTGAGGAGGCACTTCTCACCCGTGTGTGATGATGTACGGGTCTCTGGGGTCTTGTGTTGAGGAGGCACTTTACCACCGTGTGATGATGTGTATACGGTCTGGGGGTCTGTTGAGGAGGCACTCTTACACCCGTGTGATGATGTGTATACGGTCTGGGTCTGGGGTCTTGTGTTAAGGAGGCACTTACCACCGTGTGATGATGTGTATACGGTCTGGGTCTGGGGTCTTGTGTTGAGGAGGCACTCTTACCACCCGTGTGATGATGTGTATAACGTCTGGGTCTGGGGTCTGTGTTGAGGAGGCACTTTACACCGTTGTGTATACGGTCTGGGTCTGGGGTCTGTGTTAAGGGAGGCACGATACTGAGGCACTCTTAGCAGATGATGTGTATACGTCTGGGTCTGGGGTCTTGTGTTGAGTGAGGCACTTTACCACCCGTGTGATGATGTGCACGGTCTGGGTCTGGGGTTCTTGTGTTGATATCTAAGGGTCCTGGTCCCACTGAGATGTCATAGAGAAAGTGGCATACAGTAGTATATAGGGCCCTGGTTCCACTGGAGACGTTGAGAAGTAACTACAAGAAGATTCACAGGTTGCTGGTGTCACTTTTTATGATACATTCAAGAGCTAAATATTTACAGGATCCAATTCCCACGGAATCATGGATGTTTTAGACTAGACGATGATGCAGAGGGTCTAGATCCCACTGAAACGTCTGGGTCCAGGGGTAAGGGTCTATCCACTGAAAGATTAAATTCGTCTCAGTGAGATAATATCTTGATTCACTTAATGGGATGAAGACACAGGTGTTTGATGTGTTGTTATATACGTTTAGAGCAGTGTGTGTGTGTGTGTGTGTGTGTGTGTGTGTGTGTGTGTGTGTGTGTGTGTGTGTGTTGTTGTTGTTGTTGTTGTGAAGTGGTAGGAAGGAAGTAATGGTGACGTCAGCAGGTGGTGATGTTATTTTTATGGTGATAATGAACAAATAAGTGAATATGATTGGATGTTCAGTTCTCGTCCTGGCCAGGTGTTAGGAGGGTAGTGCCGTGTACAGTGTCACCTTCTTTATTGTATAAACCCTTGAGGACGATGGTTTAAGGTATCATCCTCTGAGAGTTGAACCATCATCTTCAAAGTGTTAACGATACTGTTAAACCATCATCCTCAAAGGGTTAAACCATCTTCATTAATTAAACAAACCATCCGTCTAATATGTTAAACGACCTTAGCTATTCTTTGAAAGGTTTATGCTACGTTATTATCAAGCGTCACTAAATGTCTTAAGTTACATATCGAGACGAGAGGTGACCGGTTCACTGAAAGACTGAATACACGTCTATTATGATCCAGAACCCACTGAAGTTTGATGTTTCGTGACAATATAAAATTTTGGCAGGAGTTCCACTCTAAATATTAACGTGTACAGCCCAGGAAGACGAGACTGGCACACATGCACGTGGAAATATTCAGGTCAGGAGGTATGAAGGAATGTTTTATGAGATCCCCGTCATGGTGAAGATATCAGGCATAACTTCAGGTACCATTGAAATGTCAGGGTCCCGTGTCCCTGTAAAATGTCCTGGTTACACGGCACTTATTAATTTTCCTCCTCACTGTCTCATGTAATTGACGTCAAAAATGCGTTCATAATATACTGTGACTATTATTATCCCCAATTATGGACAACAACAACAACAACAAACACACGAGTCTCTGAATCCCCGTATTCCAGATTCCGCTGAAGGCATCTGGGATACAAATCCTTGTGAAAGAATCTGGGTCCCCAACCCGTGAAAATATCAAGACACCCTCCCATGTGAAATATTTAGGGTCCGGTTCCGTGTAAACATCGAGAGTCCAGGTCCATGAAAATGATTTTAATGGCGAGTTGTTTTGTGCAGGATATTGCATTTTCCCCTAACAATTTTAGCTTGGTTTCTCTTTATTACTACCATACGTAATGCATATGATTGTTAGAAAGAGAGAGAGAGAGAGAGAGAGAGAGAGAGAGAGAGAGGAGAGAGAGAGAGGCGAGCAAGAGTCCAGGTTATTGAAGAGCAGGGAGAGGGTGAAGGGCGGGAGAAGATGGATAGTTTAGTGGGAGAGGGAGAGGCGGTGGGGAGGTGAGAAGGAAACAGTGGCTTTGTGGAGAGGGAAAAGGAAGAAAGGACAGAGCGAAGAGACCAAGGAGAGAAGAGGTAAGAGGGGAAGGAGAAAAGTAGGGAGAAATTGTATGGGTAGAGGATCACAAGGATGGAGGGGGGGGGAACAGGAAGGAGAGGGAAGAGGAGGGGGAGGGAAGAGTCAGGAGGGGAAGGATCACGTAGTTATGAGAAATGGTAACATGTGGGGGAGGCAGGTGTTAGTGTACTGGGGAGGGAGGTGTTAGCTGGGGAGGCAGGTGTTTAGTACTGGGAGGCAGGTGTTAGTGTACTGGGGGGCAGGTGTTGTACTGGGAGGCAGGTTAGTGCACTGGGGAGGCAGGTGTTGGAATTGGAGGTGTTTGTGTACTGGGGAGCAGGCAGGTACTGGGGCAGGTGTTTGGGGAGGGGTGTTTGTGTACTGGGGAGGCAGGTGTTAGTGTACTGGGGGTGTTTGTGTACTGGGGAGGCAGGTGTTACTGCACTGGGGAGGCAGGTGTTAGTGTACTGGGGGCAGGTGTTTGTGTACTGGGGGGCAGGTGTTTGTGTACTGGGAGGCAGGTGTTAGTGCACTGGGGAGGTGTGTGCAGTACTGGGGCAGGTGTTAGTGTACTGGGGGCAGGTGTTTGTACTGGGAGGCAGGTGTTAGTGTACTGGGAGGCAGGTGTTAGTGTACTGGGGGGCAGGTGTTTGTGTACTGAGGTGTTTGCACTGGGAGGCAGGTGGTACGCAGGTGTTTGACTGGGGAGGCAGGTGTTAGTGCACTGATGGGGCAGGTGTTAGGTACTGGGGGGCAGGTGTTTGTGTACTGGGGAGGCAGGTGAGTGTAATTGGGGAGGCAGGTGTTAGTGTGTACTGGGAGGCAGGTGTTTGGCATGGAGGCAGGTGTTAGTGCACTGGGGAGGAGGTGTGTTTGTGTACTGGGGGCAGGTGTTTGTGTACTGGGGAGGCAGGTATTATAGTGTACTGGGGAGGGATGAATCTACTGGGGAGGAGGTGTGAACTGGGAGGGAGGTGTTAGTGTACTGAGAAGCAGGTGTTAGGTACTGGGAAGGAGGTGAGGTACTGGGGAGGCAGGTAGTGTACTGTGGAGGGAGGTGGTACTGGGGAGGGGAGGTGTGGCGTACTGGGGAGGGAGGTGTGAAGGCACTGGGGAGGTGGCAGGTGTTAGCGTACTGGGGAGGCAGGTGTTTGTGTACTGGGGAGTCAGGTGTTGTGTACTGGGGAGGCAGGTGTTAGTGTACTGGGGAGGCAGGTGTTGGTGTACTGGGGAGGCAGGTGTTTGTGTACTGGGGAGGCAGGTGTTTGTGTACTAGGGGAGGGAGGTGTTGGTGTACTGGGGAGACAGGTGTTAAAAATACAGGTAATTTGTCTCATTAAGTTACAGATTTAATAAGACAAGATATACCTGTACAGTAATCATATCCTCCAAGGCTGTTTACGATAACTGTTCCTCGTAAGTGAAGTTATAAGTGTGGCAGTAACTTAACTCGTTCACTTAAGGCAGAACATAACACTACAAAAATAACATGAAGAGGACACTTAAGACTGTGCCTTGGTAGACACCTTCACTTAAACACCTGTTATTATGTTTTGTAATTTTGTCTTCCTGTTAACACTTTCTCGAGTACTTCCCTACTATTTCAAGTACTTTTACCATGTACTTTCTTACTAAGTACTTCAAAACCATTTACTCCCCTACCCAGTACTTCCAAACCATGTCCTATCTCCCGAGTATTTCCCTACCACACATATGGAGACCCTGAGAGCCCTGAAGAGAGAGAGAGAGAGAGAGAGAGAGAATTCCGTGGGAGACGAAGATAGAGAAAGAGAGCAGGAAAACGCAATGCTGGGGAGAGGAGAGAGATGAATGAGAGAGAGAGAGAGGAGGAAGAGAGAGGAGAGAGAGAGAGAGAGAGAGAGAGAGAGAGAGAGAGAGAGATAATCACTCCCACACAAAAAGTAAGAAAAAATATATCGGTTTTAATCCACCTTCTTAATTATTCTTCATTCTTGTTTTTACTTTCGTTCTCAAATCTATTCGTAAACATCACATAAATTACTGCCTCAATTCTGACTTGTGTTCCCTGATGTTATAGAGACGGTGATGGTAACTAATGACAGTCTTTGGTTAAATCCGCCTCCAGGATGACCGAAAATAGATGGATGAAAAAGGAAAGAAATCAGATGAATTAATAAAAATATATATTGATAGGAATTTGATTGATGAGTTTTAGGTAATTGGTAATAATATTAGTAGTTAACGTATTACTAATTAATGTGGTAAATGGTAACAATGATGGAAACGATAATATTACCGTAACGATAATGGTAATGATAAAATTGTTAATAATGCGAGTAATAATGAATGTTATAATAATAATAATATTGATGATAATATAATAATAAAAAAAATAATAATATATAATTAATAATAATAATAATAATTGCAATAATAATAATAATAATAATAATAATAATAATAATAATAATAATAATAATAATAATAAATAATAATAATAATAATAATATAATAATAATAATAATAATATAATATAATAATTAATAATATTATAATAATAATAATAATAATAATAATAATAATAATAATAATAATATATTGACATTTCATCACTGCTGGTCGGGTTCTGTCATAAACCTTTATTTGCAAAATCTATCTCAGTTTCAGATTAGTTTGAGAGAAAATCTGTGTCTGGGATTAAAATCTGAGTGTTGCCCGTGATGCTGGGAGATGACCTGATTTATGGGGCCATTATACCCATGGAGAATAATGGGGTGGCTTTTATCTTTGGAATGTGTGTGTGTGTGTGAGGGGGGATTGTGTGTGTGGGGGGGAATTGTGTGTGTGGGGATCGTATGTGTGGGGTCGTCTCTATGTGTGTGTGGGGGGTCGTCTATATGTGTGTGGGGTTGGGTCTTGTGTGTGTGGGGGTCGTGTTTGTGTGTGTGGGGGTCGTCTCTATGTGTGTGGGGTCTTGTGGGGTCGTGTTTGTGTGGGGGTCGTCTCTATGTGTGTGGGGGTTGGCCTGTGTGGGGGTCGGTTGTGTGTGGGGTCGTCTCATGTGTGTGTGTGGGGCTTGTCTGTGTGTGGTGTGTGTGTGTGTGGGGTCTGTCTCATGTGTGTGGGGGGGTTGGTCTTGTGTATGGGGCTGTGTGTGTGCTGTCCCATGTGTGGGGG